AAATGCTCTGGTAGAAGACGGGGCAATGCCTACCCTTCCTTTAGGCTCTGGGGGATTAACTTGCTCTTTATTTTGTTTATTTTAAAAGCTTTATTTATTATGTATTATTTTATTTACGAGTGTGTGTTTTACTTGGATGTATGTCTGTGCACCACATGTGTGTCTGGTGCCTGCAGAGGCCAGAAGAGGGCGTCAGATCTTCAGGAACTGGAACTGTAGGCAGATATCAGTCACCATGTAGGTATTATTTTATATTTTTTTTTATTTATGACCTGGCAATGCTGAAACATACATGGGCAGCCCATATATGATGGTTCTGTTGAACTTGTCCATGTTGGGTTTCATGGTCTAGGTTGATGAGGACAATTGACCAGGTCTCTTCCTCAAGAGGGCACCAGATCTCATTAGAGATGGTTGTGAGCCACCATGTAGTTTTGGGAACTGAGATGGCTCAGTGGTTAAGAGCACTGCCTGATCTTCCAAAGGTCCTGAGCTCAATTCCCAGCAACCACATGGCTGGCCTGAAACTCACTCTAGACCAGGCTGACCCCAAATTCGTAGAGATTCACCTCTGCCTCCCTTGAATTCCTCTGCTGGGATTAAAGGTGCGCACCACCACACCCAGCCTGATTATTTTTAGCTGACACACAATAGTTGTTGCCATGTTTGGAGTGCTTTGTCATGTTTCTTTCTAGCCTTATATGTAATTGAAACGGAGTAGCCGGGCGATGGTGGCGCACGCCTTTAATCCCAGCACTCGGGAGGCAGAGGCAGGCAGATCTCTGTGAGTTCGAGACCAGCCTGGTCTACAGAGCTAGTTCCAGGACAGGCTCCAAAGCCACAGAGAAACCCTGTTTCGAAAAACCAAAAAAAAAAAAAAAAAAAAAAGAAACGGAGTAAATACATCTGTCTCCTCAAACATCCATCTCTTGTCTTTGTCCACCTCTTGTCCAATGTCCGCCCTTCCAGAGGGTCCGTTATTATCTGGAGCCACCTTGCTGGGCCATGGCACATCTGAGCTATTGCTCCTGTGAAGTGAATATAGCAGCCACTTCCTTCTACCCCCTCCCACGACTGTCTCATGTTCAACTGCTAGGAGAGCAACTTTAACTTTTCCTTATTTTAACAAGAATCATTTTCTACATGTTACTGCTTCTACCCCTCAAAAATGATATTAGGTACTCTGCTACACAGCCAGACCCTGCCCTGAAGGCTGAGATGAGACCAACACTTGCCCTTAGGGAACCCATTGTAGGGCAAAGAGGCTCCCACCAGCCTTTGCATCCAGGTCTGCTGGGGTGTTGGGCATAAGTGGGGGATGAATGGGTGGTGTCCTCTATTGGGGACTGTGGGACCCCCGAGTTTCCTATGACCCCCCCCCCCAGCCTGCTGGAGTCAACAACTTGTTTTCCTATGCTTGCAGCTGCTCTGAGCAAACAACTTGTTTTCAGCTGCTCTGAGCACGAGACTCTTAGGAGTTCCTGTTGGCAGGGGAGTGTTTTCTGGTGGGCTTGCAGCTGAGAGTTAGGGCATGGCCATTAGTCAAGGAGACCCTATATAAGCTGCCCTGGAACACAATAATTCTTGGTTGGCTGGTATGTGTGTGTTTCAATCTCTAGGCCCTGCCCTGCTCACGAACCATACCATAGCACATAGCGTGTAGAACAGGCATTGCACCACAAATGGAGGCCCCAGCAAGATCGGGAACTAGGGATCCCCGGAGGATCACCCTCCGGAATGGTGAGGGTGGATTAAAGATGGGTATGTGTCTATGTGTTTTTTCATCCCCAGACTCTCACCCGATAGTGATTCTGGGTGGTGCAGGCACCACAGGAGGCACCATTGGGATAGGAACTAGAGACGCTCTGAGGGACACCCTCCGGCAGCTGAGGCCCTGCTGCATTGCTTGGGTCTGCTTTCCAGTAGAAGCTGCTGCTTGGCGAGGGCAGGTGGTACCCAGGTGTGTGTGTGTGTGTGTGTGTATACATCCTTGAATGCCATTGCTCAGGAATGTCTGCTTTGTTTTGTCTGTTTTTTTTTTCTTTCTTTCTTTCTTTATTTATTTATTAAATATTTCAGTCTCTTCCCCACCTCCGCCTCCCCTTTCCCTCCCCCTCCCCCAATCCATTCCCCCTCCCTCGTCAGCCCAAAGAGCAATCAGGGCTCTCCGTCCCGTGGGAAGTCCGAGGAAAACCCTCCTCCGTCCAGGTCTCGTAAGGTGAGCATCCAAACTGCCTAGGCTCCCACAAAGCCACTACATGCAGTAAGATCAAAGACCCATTGCCATTGTTCTTGATGTCTCAGTAGTCCTCATTGTCCGCTATGTTCAGTGAGACCGGTTTTAACCCAGGCTTTTTCAGACCCAGGTCAGCTGGCCTTGGTGAGTTCCCGATAGAGCATCTCCATTGTCTCAGTGTGTGGGTGCACCCCTCGCGGTCCTGAGTTCCTTGCTCATGTTCGCTCTCCTTCTGCTCCTGATTTGGACCTTGAGATTTCAGTCCGGTGCTCCAATGTGGGTCTCTGTCTCTGTCTTCTTTCATCGCCTGATGAAGGTTAATATTCAGGAGGATGCCTATATGTTTTTCTTTGGGTTCTCCTTCTTATTTAGCTTCTCTAAGAACCCGAATT